GCTTCTGGAGGCAGGTGGTTCCACTGGTTAATTGTTCTCACTGTCAAGGAAGTTTCTCCTTAGTTCTAGGTTGCTTCTCTCCTTGATGAGTTTCCATCCGTTGCTTCTTGTCCTGCCTTCAGGCGCTTTGGAGAATAGCTTAACTCCCTCTTCTTTGTGGGTTTGTTTTTTTTTGCAAGGGTTCCATTTGGGGAAAAGAATAGAGCTGGAAGGGACCTTGGGGGTTCACTAGTCCAACTTTGATCAAGATCAAGAATCTGTTTGATATGCTTAGTAACCAAATATGCAAAACAGGCCCAGATTTTTCCCAGCGTAGGATCAGGGTAGCAATGCCTGGATTCTTGACTTACTGAAAATAAATCAACAAGGAAGCCATTCATTGGGCATGAATGCATGCCTTGACTGATGTTCTTCTTTGATGGTCAAGAGATCTGAATCAGACCATGGTTGGCCTTCTAGGAATGAGAGGCCATTCTGACATTTATCCCAAGTTCCCAGCTGATCTGGTTACTGCAGAGTTTGCACTTTAAAACTAGTAGCTGCCTTCCAGTGTTTGAAGGGCTGCCCCAAAGAAGAGGGAGCCAAGCTCTTCTCCAAAGCACCCGAAGGCAGGACAAGAAACAATGGATGGAAACTGATCAAGGAGAGAAGCAACCTAGAACTAAGGAGAAACTTCCTGACAGTGAGGACAATTAACCAGGGGAACCGCTTGCCTCCAGAAGTTGTGGGTGCTCCTTCACTGGAGGCTTTTAAGAAGAGACTGGACAGCCATTTGTCCGAAATGGTATAGGGTCTCCTGCTTGAGGAGAGAGTTGGACTAGAAGACCTCCAAGGTCCCTTCCAACTCTGTTATTCTGAAACCTTACGTGAACCTGAGCTGACACCTCTACCTGGTGCAAAGTTAAACGCAACTTTCTTCTGCAAATTGAGATGCCTGCTCACTGTGTGGGCACTCTTGCTTACTGATCCTTGCTGAAATACCCACTCTCTTTTCAGTTTCAGTTTCACTTTCTCAACTGGCTCTGAGGTATCCTGCCTAAGCAGGGGGTTGGACTAGAAGACCTCCAAGATCCCTTCCAACTCTGTTTATTCTATTCTATTCTATATTCCAATATCTATTCTATTCTATTCTATTCCTGACAGTGAGAACTTCCTGACAGTGAGAACAATTAACCAGTGGAACCACCTGCCTCCAGAAGCGGTGAATGCTCCAACACTGGAAGTTTTTAAGAAGAGACTGGACAGCCATTTGTCCGAAATGGTATAGGGTTTCCTGCCTAAGCAGGGGGTTGGACTAGATGACCTTCAAGGTCTCTTCCAACTTTACTATTATTATTATTATTATTATTATTATTATTATTATTATTATTATTATTATTATTATTATTATTATTATTATTATTATTATTACTATTATTATTATTATTATTATTATTATTATTATTATTATTATTATTCTGTTCTGTTCTGTTCTGTTCTGTTCTATTCTATTCTATTCTATTCCTTTTCTGTATTCTATTCTATTTTTCTAATTCTATTCTATTCTATATTTCTAATTTTATTCTATTCTCTATATTCTGTTCTATTCTATTCTATTCTATTCTATTCTATTCTATTCTATTCTATTCTATTTCTATTTCTATTTCTATTTCTATTCCACTCCACTCTATTCTGTTCTGTTCTGTTCTATTCTATTCTATTCTATTCTGTTCTGTTCTGTTCTGTTCTGTTCTGTTCTTTTGTTCTATTCTATTCTATTCTATTCTATTCCACTCCAATCCACTCCACTCCACTCCACTCCATTCCATTCCATTCCATTCCATTCTATTCTATTCTATTCCACTCCAATCCACTCTATTCTCTTCCATTCCACTCCACTCCACTCCATTCCATTCCATTCCATTCCATTCCATTCCATTCTATTCTATTCTATTCTATTCTATTCTATTCTATTCAAAACAGACTGGACAACCATTTGTCTGAAATGGCTCTGGGCGGTCGGTTTCTGGCATAGGTTGATATATATATATATTTAATATTATTTTGGGCCACTGGGTGCCAGGCAGCCCATAATCTGTGTTTAATGAACACCAAGGTGTTCTTTTCTTCAAAGGCTTAGTCCTCCCCCCCCTCTCTCTCTCTCTCTCTGCAAAAGTATCTCTGCAAGTAGCCAAACCATTTAATTTTTGCTTCCTCGGTTTGTTCCAAAACATTTCAGGCTTATCAAGATTGTTATCGCCTCGCCTTAGGACAATGACTTTTGTGAAGAAGTCAAACACAAGGCCTCTTTCTGACAACTCTCCCCTGCAAACAAAGCCGGGTCACACAGGAACCAGAGTTGGCCAGTTTCTCCAGGGAGACTGTCCTGGGGATCTGAGAAGGGTTCGGTTTTTTTATACCGGTCTGACCAGTTTGGGGCAGGTTGAGTGGAGGCTGCCCTTGATTTTCAAAGCTTACAGATCGTCCTTACCACCGTCTTGCTTAGCAACCGTTGGGAATCACAATGGCACGGACTTACAACTTGTCCTTGGGTAGTCCTCGATTTACAACCGTGCCCAACATTTACGTTGCTAACCGAAATGTTGGTGAAGCGAGCTCTGCCCCCTTTCACGACTTTTGTTAAGCAGATCCCTGCATTTGCTCAGTTAGGAACCCGGTTGTTAAGTGAATCCTTGCATTTGTTCGCTTACTGACGGTGTGATTTACTTAACGTCAGTGATTCCCTTAATAGGCAGGGCAAAAAGGTCATAAAATCAGGCACAATTCTGGGAAGTCCGGGGGGGAGGGGGGAA